CCTGATTGTCATGGGGGGGGGGGGGGGGGGGGGGGGGTATTGTCCAGGTGGATTTTTTTATTGGGGAGGGGGGGGTGGGGTTATGACCGGAACTGAATACATGACATTAGTAATAGTTATATTTCAGTCGTCCTAGAGATAGTGTTCCCAATAGGACGTAGACCGTGGACTATAGAGGCGGAAAATTCTTAGCACAAGCTGTTTTGTGAGAATACGACATACAATGATCAGATCAAATTCTGAACGTTTTTGAGGAACCGGAAATAGAGTAAACTACCACTTCCGGTTATCGGAAATCGCTCAAAAGTTTAGAGAAACCTGTGTACCAGGATACTATACTTACAAGGTTATTATCCTCCACCTAAGTGAAACGATATACACGTTTTCGTGTTTACAAACATACAAACAAACCAGACACACACACAGACACACACACACAAACATACAGGCAAGAATGGAGATTGCAAAAACTGATTATTTCCGACCCAGGAAGATGTAAAACGCGAAGATTTGTCAAATTCTAACACTGACTTTTTTGCTTTTGCACGATTACATTACTTCCCATATAGAACATACTCCGTATAAGAGAAAGTAAAAAAAAAATGAAAAAAAGAAATCAATATACACGATATGTAAGTAAACAAACACTTGAAAGACTCCATATTATAATTCAACAATCAAAACAAAAAATACGTACTTTTGCTAAATGTATCAACATAAAATTTATTTTACCTTACTTCCTGACTTTACTTTAAAAAAAAAGAAGAAAAAAAATGACAAAATGATAAAACGGAGCACCGTAGTTTCTCCTAGTCGCCGCTCACCTGTGAAAAGAATAAACACGTCTTTGAAATATTAACGGCTTTTATTTGCGATGCTTTACAATGTAGCACGCTACAGTGCACCGCCGTGATAATGATCTATCCTCAACAAAATTGCACCACACTCGACAAGACAACAAAGACAGCACCACAAATAATAGGACCACTCGGTGGTGGAGTAGATCGATCTTGTTACGTACTTGGTGGTTGTGTTTTGTTTTGTGAGAAGGTTTTTGTTGGTTTTTATTTAATCTTAGCAACGTCTAGCTGTAGATTCTGGAAAGATAGGTGTGGTCTAAGGATAGGAGGTGTGTCGCCTTTGGGATAATTCGTGATACTGGCACAAGGATATAGGTGTGTTTAACTTTTTGGATAATTTATCTCAAGGATACAATTGTGTTTGGTGATAGGATAAAAAATTGACAATGGGATAGAAAGTGTTCGGCTCAATTAGTATATAGTAATAGGTTCTCGGATAAGTTGAGTTTCATTCAAGGATAAATTGTGTTTGGCCCTTGGATTAATTTCTTTGCTTAAGGATAAAGTTGTGCTTGACTCTAGATTTGAATCGTGCTTGTTTCTAGTTGTAAACTATTTTTCTTCAGGATATATTCTAGTTTTCTTTAGGATATATTCTAGTTTTCTTTATGATATGTTCTGCTTTGCTTTAGGATATATACGAACTTAGTTATTAGATTCAATGTCTCTTCCAGACTTTTTTTCTCCGGTGTGGGGGGAGCACTTGATATTTTCCGGGGAGGGGGGGGGGAGCGGCGGACATAGGTAAAAGCAGGATATGTTTTCTATGTAAATTCCATCTCGTTCGGGGGGAGGGGGGTAGACTTTCTTCGGGGTGGGGGGTGTTCCACCGAAGAGGTGCCTGGAAGAAACTATGATTAGATTAGTTGCGCTACACCATGTACACCATGTATACCATGTACACCATGTACACCATGTACACCATGTACACCATATACACCATGTACACGATGTACACCATGTACACCATGTACACTATGTACACCATGTACACCATGTACACCATGTACACCATGTACACCATGTACACCATGTACACCACTCTATCGCCGTGTCCAACATCAACTCTATCCCACTCCCTACCACCTCACTCCCTAAAACCCCACACCCTACAACCCCACTCCCTACAACCCCACTCCCTACAACCCCACTCTCTACAACCCCACTCCCTACCACCCCACTCCCTACAACCCCACTCCCTACAACCCCACTCCCTACAACCCCACTCCCAACCACCCCACTCCCTACAACCCCACTCCCTACAACCCCACTCCCTACAACCCCACTCCCTACAACCCCACTCCCAACCACCCCACTCCCTACAACCCCACTCCCTACAACCCCACTCCCTACAACCCCACTCCCTACAACCCCACTCCCTACAACCCCACTCCCTACAACCCCACTCCCTACCACCCAACTCCCTACAACCCCACTCCCTACCACCCAACTCCCTACAACCCCACTCCCTACAACCCCACTCCCTACAACCCCACTCCCTACAACCCCACTCCCTACAACCCCACTCCCTACAACCCTACTCCCTACCACCCCACTCCCTACCACCCCACTCCCTACAACCCCACTCCCTACAACCCCACTCCCTACAACCCCACTCCCTACAACCCCACTCCCTACAACCCCACTCCCTACAACCCCACTCCCTACAGCCCCACTCCCTACAACCCCACTCCCTACAACCCCACTCCCTACAACCCCACCCCCTACCACCCCACTCCCAACCACCCCACTCCCTACAACCCCACTCCCTACAACCCCACTCCCTACAACCCCACTCCCTACCACCCCACTCCCTACATACCACTTACCTTCTAAATCAAGTAACTCATCTTGTAGTTATTTCCTTTAAAATTGGTCATTGATTGCCTTTGTATTATTTCTCATCATATTAATTACAATTCAAATAGAATTTTAAAAGTATTGATTAGTAATGAAAAATTCAAACGATTAAAAGAAATGTAAAAAAAAATAGAATTTATAAGATGATTAACTTTCAATACACATTGCATTTAGGGCCGGCGCTTCCTATAAGGCGGACTGGACGGTCGCCTAGGGCGCCATCCATAGAGGGCGCAAAAATGTGTAATTGCTATAGGCCTAATAAAAAAGTACCTAATCATTAATAACTTTGATTATATTATATAAACTAATTAAAGGGTAATATTCAAAGGCATAGCGATCTAGTTACTTGCCCATGAAGAACTATCAGTTTTGCGCCCCCTCCTCAAATTAGGCATATAAATAGCTATTCGCGTTGGTGAAATAGCGCCCCCCTCCCCATTTGGAAAGTTGGGGAGCCGTTTACCAGTTACTTTGCCTTTTATTTTAGTGCCACACAATTGATGCATACAAATTTAAAGAAGTCCGTAATGAATTGAATCTGCATATATATATATATATATATATATATATATATATATATATATATATATATATATATATATATATATATTTATTTATTTATATATATATATATATATATATATATATATATATTATATATATGTAGGGACTAAAAAATAAAATTGCTAGGGGAGGGGTGGGGGCGTTTTAATAATTTTTACCTAGGGCGCTAAATACCCTGGCGCCGGCACTGATTTGGTATTTTTTTAGCGCAATTTCCATACGGACAATTGCGATTATTAAATCGTCAAGGATGGATGTGTGTCCGATGTATGTCCGATGTGTGTCCGCAGCTTTAAGTCCTATCTCCTTGTCAACGAAGCAATATCGAGGACTAGTTTTCAATATAATTTTTGTTTCGTTATTATTTTATTATTCTGTTAAGCAAAAACAAAGCGTAACTTTTCAATAGAAATATCAATGGCGCTGAAATCTTTGATGGGAGTTTATCAAGTGACGTCAGGTTAATTAACCAATGGTTGCCTCATGGGACGGGGAGTGGGGGGGGGGGGGGAGGGGGGGGGGAAAGGGGAAGGTGAGGTACACTGTGACCTCTACAGTAATAGGGTTGAGTTAGGGAAAAGGGTTTCGGTGGGTTGGTGTGTAGTGGTGATGTTGGGGTGGTGTTGGGGTGATGGTGGGGGGTTAGATTTGGGTTAGGTTGAGTTGGGGTGGGGTGGGTTAGGGGGTGTAGTGGTAGTGGTGGTGGGGGTATGGGTATGGATGTGAGTAGGGATGGTGGGAAGGGGTGGGGGTAAGGATGGTAGGGGATGGGGGTAGGGGATGCGGGGGTGCGGACGGCCGTGTTTCTTTAGTGTACAAATGTTAAGTACATTTAAAAGTTAAATCCTTAAAAAAGATAAAAGATTCATTAATAAACAATGCCGTTAAAGTGCATAGATATAAAGAATTAAAAAATTGATTTACGTTCCATTAGAACAATCGATGTACTTGAGCTCGATTATGATGCAATTTTTACTAGAACAATGAATGACATGTGGAAAATTAAAGCTCCCTTTTCGAACCTGACGGTCATTGAGGCCAAGTGAAGTAGAGTTTACCTGTTTCTGTAGCCTCGGCATATGAAGGGTTAGTGTAGTCAGCACTATGCCCAGCCGCCTTTACTTTCCTTAACCCGAGTTAGGTACGCATCAGAGCTGAGCGGACTCAGGGACGTTCTACTGACTTGTATCAGGAATAACATGTGGAGTTCTGCTAGATTTAGTCCGGCATAACAAAAACTTTTACGCAGGTAGAGGTGCAAGGGTTAGAAAATGTTATGTGCATTAACTCAGTTTCATCTGATCCCACCCCACCTCACAAACGACACAAACAATTAACAACCAACTCCCATAAACCTTTAGTTTTAGCGCCTCTGATCACACCCCACCCCACACACAACCCCTAACTCCCCCACCCCACAAACCACAAGCCATTAACCCCCTAAGTCCACCACCCCTCCAGTTTCAGCGCCTCTGATCACCCCCACCCCCACCCCACCCCCACTCCACACCTCACAAACCATTAACCCCTAACTCCACCACCCCTCCAGTTTCAACTCCTCTGATCACACCCCCACCCCACACACCACAAACCATCAACCACTAACCCCAACACCTCTCCAGGTTCAGCGCCTCTGATCACACCCCCACCCCACACACCACAAACCATCAACCCCTAACTCCACCACCCCTCCACTTTCAGCGCCTCTGACCCCACCCACCCACCATGGACGAAACGACGGAAGCCACCGCCTCCGACAGCAGTTCCTTCCTGGACGACAACAACAACCTGGCCATGTACGTGGTGCTGCCCGTCATGGTTGCCGTCTACGGCGGATGTGCCTTGATCTACTGCATCCACAGGTGCCGCAGGTACTGCGTCAGGCAGAAGAAGAAGAAGGTGAAGATGGAGAGGAAGAAGGAGCTAGAGAGGTAGGATAGAATTAATTTTAAAAAATAAAACACTTTGGTTCTTTCAATGGGGAACACGTGATCTCTTCTTCCATGATCATTTCACTTTTCTTAACCTTTTAGTGCGTGAATTATTCTGATAGTAGTTGTGTATTGAGGCGTGTCAAATCGCCTGGTCGTATACTGCTTGCCAGCAGTGGCGTTGCTAGGTCGGTTGTCACTTAATGGTGTCACCCCCTCCCTCCGAAACAATGGTGTCACCCCCCCCCCCTCGCGACGCCTATGCTGGCCAGAAATTAACATGCAAGTGAGCTAGGTATGCGCACGCATCTTACTGTCTAGAACGTCATGCCTTTTGGTTTTTATATATTATTTAAGTTGGAATAACCTACCAGAAATGAGTGTTGCAGTTTTGCAACAGGTTGCTCTTAAGGGTATCGCATTCATTGTCTCCTGAGGCAAAATGGAGCAAACTATAATTTCAAGTGTAATGGATAGAAAAATTTCAAAAGGGTCGTCAATAGTGGATGACAGATTATTTTAGAGAAGTTTTATAGAGAAGTTTTTATCGGAATCCCTTTAATTTAGGTATTTGTAGTCATTTATTGTAAATGTTTAGTTGACAAATATTGAACCATATGTCTACAAGTTTAAATCTAACGAGTTATTAGCCAATTAGAGCGTGTAAGATTTAATTTGGTAAATAGCACGCAGCCTCACAGAATGTACATGATTTTACTAGGAAACTGTTTACAGACTTATATAATGTGAATAATGTACTAGAAAGTAGCCTTTATATTTATATAATCTACAGAATTATCAGTAGCGTAGCGAGGGGGGGGGGGGGACATATGTCCCCGGGCGCCGACCTTAGCTGGCGCCAAAATGGATTGGAAAAATAAATTGAAAGTTTGAGGGGGGGGGGGGTGCAAATCAAAATCTTGAGGGGGGGGGGGGGTTGCAAATCGAAAGTTTGGGGGGGGGGGTGCAAATCGAAAAGTTTGACCCCGGGCGCCGGGAAGGGTCGCTACGCCTCTGAGACTTATGTAATGCGCATGATGTCATACATTAATGAAATGTGTATGTATTTATTACATATAAACTATGTATGATGCATTATGAAGTAACCAACGGTTTAAGAAATGTGTAAGCGATCATAAACGATGACGAATTTCTAAATTATTCCCAAATTTTTTATTGTGAATTTTATTTACTTCTTCTTCTTAAAGGAAAGCATTTGTCAACCCCATGGTAACGACAGCAGACGAAGCCCCGCCCCCCTCCTACAAGTCCTCCAACAGACCGGGGTCCCGGACCAATCAGAACGCCCTGTCGCTGGAATGTCTTGAAGGGGTATTTTGTTGAATTGTTGTCTGTTTGAAAAATAGAACATGCGCCGGAGTAGATGCGCATTAAAATATGCTTAACTAGTAAAAATAGGTGTAAAATGCTCTAAAATTGTATGAGTTCAATAAAGAAAAAGGTCAATGTTTAATTATTTTTTAAGTTGAAAAAAAAAGGACGAGAAGTAATTCTTTTTTTTCACCGAGAGAAGAAATTTTTTGTAGTTATATAGTAAAGGAACATAGTTCCCTTACAAACGTGTTTCTGTGACCTCGGAATATGAAGGGATAGTGTGGTCAGCACTTTGCCCAACCGCCTTTACTTGCCCTAGCGTGAGTTAGTTACTCATCAGGGTTGGGTAGACTCAGGGACGGATTCGAACTCGAGACTTACGGGTTAGCAGTCCAGCTCTCTACCGCTAGGCCACTCCGTCCCATAACGTAGTTACATATTTCCTAACAAAATATATATTTGTTTTCTTGTAGGAGTCAGACACGGCAGGTGACAAATCTAAAAATAGGTGAGTCCAATCACGTGACGATACTAAATGTAAACAATGTGTTTCATTTTGTGCATGCAACTGAAGTTTACTTACAGTTAATGTTTCCATAATTAAATAATCTTCCCAACAAAAACATGCCACAATTAAATTATAAATATAATCGATTTAACACAGTACTCTATAAAATAGTTTTTGTCAACATATTGTAACATTCCACTTTAAAATAATAAAAAAAAAATCACATTTAAAATGTTACCATCAAAGAAGATTACACTGTAAAATTAAAATTTGTCAACTTTCAACAATTCTATTTTAAATATTCTTACCATCATACAGCATTGTAAAATTATACATTTTGTTTATAATCATAAATTAAACATTACAATATTCCACGATACAAATTAAAAAAAAACTTCATAAACAAACAACATTCTCAAAATAATATACATCTCACCAATATTAATCATTACTTTGACAATTATAAATTTAAAAAAACATTCCTCTCAAAACAACATTACCAACATTTATCATTCAACGATAAAATCAAAAATGTAACCAAGGCTCAACATTGTACGATAAAATCCAAAACTTCTCCAACATACAACATTTTACGATAAAATCTACATTTTCAAACACACAACATTCTATGATAAAAATTCAAAATTTCTCCAATATACAACATTCAACGGCAAAAAACAAAATTTTAATAACATACAACATTCTATGAAAAATCCGAAAGTTTACCAACATACATCTTTCTACGATAAAACCCAAAAGTTTACCAACATACAACATTCTACGACAAAATAAAAAAATTCACAACATCCAACATTCTACGATAAAGTCCAAAATTTAATCAAAATTTAACAAATATATAACCGATAAAATCCAAAATCTCACAACATACAACATTCTAAAACCCAAAACTTTACCAACATACAACATATTACGACAAAATCAAAATTTCTCCAACATTCCCCCAACAGCGCGGACCCCCTACAGGACGGTCAGAAGAAAAAAGACCCCTGGGACTCTGACGCAGGAGCCAGAAAAATTCTCGCCAAAGCCCTTCTCCCGGAGCTACTTCGTGGCAAAGAGGAAGAACTCTTCTGGTACCCGGAGAGAAAACGATTTGGGAAGATTCTAGTCAGTAGCCAGTAGTTACATTTCGAAGTTGTGCTTTCTGGAAGATCGCATTAACCAGATTTTAGTTAATGACTGAGAATTATGAAGCTAATTTTAGGTATTTTTTAAAATTCTCTGTTTTCTGACAATGCAGATGTTTTGGGAGAAAGAGTCACTTAACTAAGTAAATCTGATAAAAAGGAATCAGAAAGCAAAACTAAATTATATCGAAAGTTTTTTTTTTTTTTTTAAACTTCAAATCGAAAAGATTTCGCCAAACACATGTTTTATGTACATTTTTCTTTTGCAAAAATTTTTATCACCAATTTCTCAACAATGGCGTCGGCAGGATTTTATCATGCGTGCGTGGGGGAGGGAATCAAAGTTTCCACATGAATATAATATAATATATAAATATATATATATATATATATATATATATATATATATATATATATATATATATATATATATATATATAATATCGGATTATAAAAAATAAAATTGTAGTTTTAAAAATTATGGAACTTATGACACACCGTCATCAAAGGCTGTTACGTAACCTGATATTATTTCCATTTTCGATGAGTTCCATGGTCAGGGAACTTACCACCCCCAGCCCAAAACACCACTGCCCCTGATTGATATCTAATTGAAAGAGCCATAACTATCCAATGAAGGAGACACTAGCGAATTGTGAGCTCAAAGTCACCGACCACTGGTCTACGCCTAAAATAGAAATCTTTTATTTTGAAATCTTATTGAAAGGTCAAGAAAGGTTTACTGCTCAGTATTTTGATTTGCTACTGCCCGTTATACAAAACGTTTATTTGATTTGTCTAAAAAACCAAGAGTTCAATTTTAAATGTTTTTGGTAATTTCGGAATATTTAAAAGACACTAGTTAATTAATGACAGTTAATTAGATAGAAAATGTTGGAATATTTGAGTTAGTTGTTAATATTAGCTACAGTGTTTCTTTCAGACTTTTTCTCCGAGAGGAGGGGGGGGGCACATGATAGATTCCGGGGTGTAGGCAGACTAAATTTTCCGGGGGGGGGGGAAGGGCGGACACTGGTAAAAGTATATTACCCCACCCCCTCGAAGAGATGCCCGAAAGAAACACTGATGATCTACTTGCCATTATTTTACATGTACAAAAATTAACCACTTGTTTTTCACCGACTTGTTAAAATGCAAAAAATGCAAAACTTATTTCCTGTTGACATAGATTTTGTTATATATTTTGTACATTTTTGAGATGTTATACAATTTTATACAAGTATATACCTGTGATCCATTTTTTTTAAATTGAGCACATCTTAAATTTTTCAGCTCACCTTATATTCTCATTGTACTATAAATAAACAGTCAAACACGGGATGTATTACATCACATAAAATACAGCATTGTGTTTGTAAACTCTTACATTCAAAGACAGTAACTTTCAGTTCAATAACCTGACGTAAATTGAATACTGGACCTGAAATTAAAACTTTTGAAGCTTGTTAATTCTGAATCTTTATGTTATATTTTTAATTGCCTGAATCAGTAACTGATTAAAATATTTTGGAGTTGTGTTAGGTGGATTAAAATTGATAAGAATCGGGGCTAAACATTAACTGTTATGTTGAGATATCAATAGTTTGTCTACATCTGCCTTAGTTTGGGTCTACTATATAATAAAACAGGTTGCATGGGTGTTAAACCAATGTAATAAGAAGGTAACTATTTATAGAAGCAGAAATAACTATGCTAGTGTTTCTTCCAGACTCTATTCCCCCAGAGGGGGGGGGGGGGGGTTTACTTGATATTTTCGGGGGGGGGGGGGGGGGTGAGGGTGGACAAAATTTTCGGGTTTGTGGGGACAATAGTAAACGTGTATGTTTTCTATATAAATTCCATTTGGTTCGGGGGGTGGGTGAGGGGATAGACTTTCTTAGAGGGAGGGGGGGGGGGGAGCGAAGAGATACCTGGAAGAAACTCTGAACATTGCAGGGAGACAACACTCTTGGTAATAGACTTTAGAAATCGATGTTGTAAGAACAGACATTAGCTAGAGCATACACTAGCTGGAACAGACTTTAGCTGGAACAGACTTTAGCTAGAAAAGACTTTAGCTACAATAGACTTTAGCTACAATAGACTTTAGCTAGAACAGACTTTAGCTAGAACAGAATTTAGCTAGAACAGACTTTAGCTAGAGCAGAATTTAGCTAGAGCAGAATTTAGCTAGAACAGACTTTAGCTAGAACAGAATTTAGCTAGAACAGACTTTAGCTAGAACAGACTTTAGCTAGAGCAGAATTTAGCTAGAGCAGAATTTAGCTAGAACAGACTTTAGCTAGAACAGACTTTAGCTAGAGCAGACTTTAGCTAGAACAGACTTTAGCTAGAGCAGACTTTAGCTAGAACAGACTTTAGCTAGAGCAGACTTTAGCTAGAACAGACTTTAGCTAGAACAGACTTTAGCTAGAGCAGACTTTAGCTAGAACAGACTTTAGCTAGAACAGAATTTAGCTAGAACAGACTTTAGCTAGAACAGACTTTAACTACAACAGACTTTAGCTAGAACAGACTTTAACTACAACAGACATTAGCTAGAACAGACTTCTGCAATCGTAGCTGTAAGAACAGACTTTATGATGTGAAATGAACATGTAGCTCAATGCACAAAACCTATTAAAATATTTGTATTGATTCTTATGCATTCTGTCATTCATTTATTTGCCGATAGGTTATTTTTTTCCCTTTCCTCGCTGGTAGTTTCTCATGATCAACATCATCTCATGACTGGTTAAATCCTAACTGTTTTTGACACCACCTAGCCCTTGTTAAATGTGAAAAACAAAAGTGTTTTTGTTATCGTCTTGAGAGCTTCTCTATGCCTTTTATCCTCCGTAAAAAAATAACGTAAAATATAGGGTCTATTATGCCAATAAGAGTTTTTGAAAAAAAATATAGTGACTTTATATTTTAATTCAATATTTATTTTTAATCAATAAAAACAACTCCGATATGGTGTCAAAAGTAAATTTTAATAACATTCCTCAACAATAGAAAACCAAAACGAAAGCGTAAATTAAAATTATTTTTATAAAAGTGTTCTTTAAAAACAACAACAAAAAACAACACTGTTGAATGTAACATAAATCCGGACCCCTCATTCAATACCTGACCCAACCCCTAACCCCTCTGTGATGGGGGATTATATGTAGCTCTATGTTACAAAACTTTGGACCTCTCTACTTACATACCCCCCTCTATATAGCAAAATGTCACACAGCTCGGGACCCCTCTCCTAATATCTTACCCCCTACCACACCCCCCACACACACTCACACTCACGTAGCTTGATGCTACAAAAATTTGGATCTCTCTCCTAACATCCCCCCCACTCTATATAACATAATGTCACAAAATTCTAGACCCGTCTCCCACTATCTGACCCCTCCACCCCACAAACACTCACGTAGTTCAATGCTACAAAATTTTGGACCTGTCCATACATAACCATTACTTCCCCCCACCCACATACGTAGCACAATGTCCCACAATACCTGACCCATATTCACTTCAGATGTGTGCAGTCTTTCTAAACGACCCCTGATCAAACCCTACCCACAAGATTTAGCAAGTTACTGCATTGCTGTTTATATTTCGCTGGAATTTTTACTTTGGTAATCAACATTAGAGTTAGAGATTATGCAAAGGTCGTGGGACGGGGGTGTTAGAACAAGCTGAAGTAGCAATAATAGCCTAAACGTCAATTCTATACGTCTTTGTTGTATTTTAGTACAACCATATTCGTGAAAACATATACATTTTTAGAACACATAATCATAAGGCTGTGCAACATTCATGTTATTATTCATCAATTTTTAAACACAATTTTTGTCAAAATATGATCGAGCACACGAATTAAGAAAATCCATTTCATCATAGATTTTATTGTGCCCATTTCTGAAATTAATTAATATTAACAAAATAAAATAAAACTGGCAAGTCTGTAAACATAGAGAGCTTAGACCTCAAACTTGTCATATGCTGTGACAGATTTGGTGTGTTTTAAAAGCTTAAAACAGCTTTTATAACTCTTTATGTTTGAGTTTTTATTGGCTATTTTTAAGTTCACGTTGTTTATTTGTGGTTTTGTGGCAATTTTAACCCTCTTTTTGATCCAATCATTCCGTTCTTAAAATATTGTTCGCTTATGAAATTTCATACATATTTTGGCAACCAATGCTTTTTAAGAAAGAAAAAAAAAATCCTTTTTTCAGTTCATTTAAAACCTTTTTTTTTTCTTCCTTAATTGTAATGTTGGAAGGGGTTTTCAATGCAACACAATTAAGTATTACGTGTCAACTTATTATGCCCCTTATAGGCCGATGAATCCAATTTTAGCCTGCTTTTCTTTTTGGATTTACTTCGTTAGTTTTTGTCCAACCAAGAACAAACTACGAGGAAGGAGTTTTTATTTTTATTTTTATTTTGGAGTGGTCTCTCTTACATTGGTTGTTTTTCCCAGCTATACAGCCTCATCTGCCCGGGACTTTCACGATTTAGTTACGCTGAGCTTTACCGACCCGACCACGCTGATTCACTATAAGATTATAATTTAAAAAAAAAACATAATATTTGTTTATCTATAATAAAAGTAAAGTTTCCCTTTCAAACCTGACGGTCTATGGGGTAAGTGAAGTAGAGTTCACTTGTTTCTTTGACCTCGGCATATGAAGAGATAGTGTGGTCAGCACTATGCCCAACCGCCTTTACTTTCCCTAACGTGAGTTAGGTACCTATCAGGGTTGGGTGGACTCAGGGAGGTCTACTGACTTGAACCCGGATTCGAACTCGAGACTTACGGGTTAGCAGTCCAGCTCTCTACCGCTAGACCACTCCGTCCCTGTTTATTGTTGTTTTTTTTTTGGCTTCAGCCGATACGAATTTTTGTCAAAACTCTACGGAGACTTGGAACACAATATTGAATACAGCATGAGCGAACAGCTTTTATGGCACGTGACTTCAAGTTGGGTGATTGGTTTTGTAATTGAATATAGTAATCCAACGAGTGATCTCTAGCATTCAATCTTGTTATGTCCCCTTAGTTTTGTAACCGCTTACTTTATTTTTAATGACTAATTTAACATATAATAAAATTCGAAAATAAATATTCATGCATTGTCATCAAAGACGAAGGTATCTTGAAAATTTGAACGAAATCACTGCATTAAAAGTTGGTCAAAATTGAGCTACTAGATTTGCCACAAACCCACAAACAGACGTTGCGAATTAAATAAAAGCTTGTAAAGAGGCAGAACCTTGAGCCAATCCACAAGCCCGTAACATCGTAGCTAGACCACTACTGGATATACATTATGATCACAGGTTAAAATATTAAAAAGAGATTCATTTCAAACAAATTGCGTAAAATAACAACAGATCCTCAGGTCTTTTGTAAAACAGGCTGTGGTGAATTTGTGTTTGATGTTTTGGTCTGATTTGAATTTCCTTGGTTTATTTTAGTAATGTCAGGGTTACTTTCTAGGACGTCCGTACTGTTTTTTCCTGCCAGATTTTTGTTGCGTTCGGCAGCCAATTTCTCGGCATTGGCTATGGCCAGTTTTTCTTGCTTTTCCTTCGCCCACCTAAGTTTGGCTATGCTGATGTCTTGTAAAGTATAGATAGGACCCGTCTGCAATCGTAAAAAAAAGTTATTAATTATATAAAAATAATTTTATATCCAGATATAATCAAGTAGTCTAAAACGCCAGTGAGTGAACTAACATTCTGTTATATTAGCATCCCATGTTTTGGTGTTATATTCACGTAGACTTGAATCCCAGTTTGACGGTATGTATAATTTAATTACTATCCTATTGAGTAGCGACTATATCAAACAAGATTTTCTTCTTCTTCTTCGTTCTTAATTTTTCGTGTTGGAAGGGATCGAGCTTTATCTGCCATAGGGTTTGAACTCAAGACTTTTTAAAATTTAAAAACCATGAGCTTTTGCCGACTCGATCACGCCTCCAACACAATTAAGGATGCGTTTCAACTGCTTATGCGACATTGAGGCCATTGACTCCGATTTCAGCCTGCATTTCATTTTGGATTTACTTCCATAGCCTTTGTCCAACCAAAAACAAACTACAAGGCAGCAGTTGTTTGATTTTGGAGTTGTCTCTGCTAGAAGAGTGGCTGTCCCCAGCTATCGTGCCTCATCTGCCCGAGGGTTCGAACTCAAGACTTTTCGGTTTAGCGACCGTGAGCTTTACTGACCACCACGCCTACCCCTAAACAAAATTTAAATAATCCTAGTTTGCGAAGTCATAGTCCTATTAATCTAAACTATGACTGAGTTTTGAAACGTTTTTGTAGTTTATCATACCACTCTCAGACGCTCTATTGAACTGGACTATAAGCAGACTTACAACAATTCTCTTTACTGAACATATCCGTACATAACAGACTTACCACATTGAGGCGAGTGACATGAGTAGGTTAGAGTAAATGAAAATTGTATCAGGGGAGGTAACACAGGAAATCTTAGGTTTGACAACAATAGTTGTGTAATTAAATCAAGGAAGTTGCACAGTGTAAAGTTTTGACAACAATAGTTGTGTAATTAAATCAAGAGAAGTTGCAGTGTACGGTTTGACAACAATAGTTGTGTAATTAAATCAAGAGAAGTTGCACAGTGTAAAAGTTTGACAACAATAGTTGTGTAATTAAATCAAGAAAAGCTCCACAGTGTAAAGGTTTGACAACAATAGTTGTGTAATTAAATCAAGGAAGTTGCACAGTGTAAGTAGAACCGTGAGTTGAAATGGTACGGAGAGAAAGATTTTCACACTAAATCAAACAATCTATTAGCCTTAAATAGCAGAAACGAAGTCATTCACTGAAACAAAGAATAGTTAGGTATGTGGATACTGAGGTGTATTGTGGCAAGGTTGATATAGGTAGAAATGTATCGCGTTAGATTTTTTCAGGATGAAAGATTCGTTCGGCCTGGTAACATGGTGGAAAGGTTGAGTGAATTCCGGTGTTGGAAAAATTGGGTGGATGCAGTACTAATGGTGGAGAGATTGGGTGGATGTGGTTCTGATGGTGGAAAAATTGGGTGGATGTAGTTCTGAGGGTGGAAAAATTGGGTGGATGCAGTACTAATGGTGGAGAGATTGGGTGGATGTAGTTCTGATGGTGGAAAGGTTGGGTGGATGCAGTACTGATGGTGGAAAATTGGGTAGATGCAGTACTGACGGTGGAAAGGTTGGGTGGATGTACCTCTGATGGTGGAAAGGTTGGGTGGATGTAGTTCTGATGGTGGAAAATTGGGTAGATGCAGTACTGACGGTGGAAAGGTTGGGTGGATGTACCTCTGATGGTGGAAAGGTTGGGTGGATGTAGTTCTAATGGTGGAAAGGTTGGGTGTATGTAGTTCTGATGGTGGAAAATTGGGTAGATGCAGTACTGACGGTGGAAAGGTTGGGTGGATGTAGTTCTGATGGTGGAAAGGTTGGGTGTATGTAGTTCTGATGGTGGAAAATTGGGTAGATGCAGTACTGATGGTGGAAAGGTTGGGTGGATGTACCTCTGATGGTGGAAAGAGATGGAAGCCGGTGCTGGAAACATTGGATGTATTCAGGTCTGTTCTAACTCGCGAATAGCTACAACAAAAGAAATATCGAGCACTATACAAGATAAATGACTGGGGAAAAGTAGAAACAGAAAGAAAAATGATTTTCTAGGTTTTAACATTATTTTTTACTGCTCTCATTTTATGCTTTCCAACAGACTGCTTCTTTTCTAGTTAATAAAATTTCTTTCTTTCGTATATGTATATTGACCAACTAAATCGATTAAAAAAGGTTTTGACTCCCCTCCCCAACATGCTACATTGGTTTCGAACCCATCACCTTAAGCATCTGTGTAGTGTCTAACGCCACCGTGATCCATGTGTAAAGGCTGTAGGCCCTGATGCTCTTGACAGTGTATTTGACGGAGTTAAGTCCCTCTATATCTTGGCGCTGTTTGGCGCTCCTCAGTAAGACAGACCTAGGTTAGAAATAGATGGAATTGATATATATATATATATATATATATATATATATATATATATATATATATATATATATATATAGGCTATAAACTGTAAATATATATAGCCTATATATATATATATATATATATATATATATATATATATATATATATATATATATATATATATATATATATATATATATATATATATATATATATATATATATATATATATATATATATATACATATATATATATATACGGTGACAGGACAAATGATCTCAGGACAAATAATCTCAGACAAAATATCTCAGACAAGATATCTCACGGACAAATGATCTCAGGACAAATGATTTGAAGGACAATTAATCTCACGGAAAAAGATACCAGGACAAAATATATCAGGACAAATGATACCATGGACAATTGTAGGCGATTAAACACAATAATTGATCGCTTAACATTAATTATCAAGGGCTGTCTTCTCTTAAAACTAACCTAAAAAACAAATTATTGAGTTGTTTCCCCTCTATGACCCATAAAGCATCTCCAGTCATGCTCACTCTCTTAAACCAGGGAGAAATGTAAGTTTTCCAACTAAATTTTTTTTCTAATTTTTTAACATGATTCCCATCGATAAAAAATGTGGCAGCTGTTTATTAATAGGCCTCGCTTAAAGAATTTAAAATACCAAGGGTACTCAAAATACAACAAAAATAAACACTTTTCTATTAACAGAATCAATTTTTAAAAAAAATATCTTTTTATTTTCAAATATAAATAATTACTTCAGCATATACAAATGTGTACGTGCGTTAATCTGAAACATAGTAAGTAGGCTTGCTTATATCAGTCTACATCAATTTCTACCTCTCTCTCTCTCTCTCTATATATATATATATATATATATATATATATACATATATACATATATACATATAATATATATATATATATATATATATATATATATATATATATATATATATATATATATATATAAACATTAACAAATTTTATCATTACTAAACAATGGTTTGTCGATCTACAATTCAAATAAGGTAATTAAGAATAAAGAAATTTTTTATTTAACTTTTGGATCTATTTTCCATAAAACAAACTACATCATATTTTACAGTGATAGGTTGGTAAGTATTTACATAATGTCAAAGTAAAGAGATACAAATAAATTAAATTTTTTAAAAATTTTTTTAAAATTTTTTTTTTCTTTTTTCTTTTTTTTACATAAATTAATAAGGACTATTATATAACAACACGCATCAGTGAACACTTCCTTTACAACGTTTAGGACAACTTAATAAGAATCCGAATAAATATTATTATTGTTTACAAATGCGTATAGCTTAATCATAGCGGATGTAACTTTTCTATTTATTTATTTTTATCGATTTAATTAAACAAACAATATTTGGCATGTACGAGAACGCAAAAATGGTGACCTACTTACTTAATAATTCTCTCACATTGTCTTCATTTTTAGACTATTTGAATAATATCCTGAGTTGCCGTCCCTACTCAAACAAGAAACACAGAGTTACTTCCCCGTACTAAACAAGACAACAGTACCTTATTGGATTGAGCTCGTTCCCGGAGTCCCGTGTATGTTTGATCATGTCGTAGCGGGCTATGTTGTTCTCGTATCTCACTGCCGTCATGTTTTTGTTTTTCACCCTAGGAATACACAAACCTTAAACGTTACGAAAGTAATACTTCTACTTCTCCATCACAAATATACTAGGAAACTCAAAACTGGAAAATTAAGGATCAAAGGTATTACAATAGAGTTTATATCATTCAATATAAATAAAAAGGTTTAGAAAAAATTATCAATTGACCATGGAGCGTAGTATCTACTCAATACTTAGTTAAATAACAAGTTTAAAAAATAATAACTAAAACGATTAAATAGCACAATTTTTATACACACTGAAAAGAAGAAAATAAAGCTATAGCCTTTAAATATTTATTAATGCATCATATTTTAATAAACATAAAGAATACGTTTGTGATAACTAAAATGACAAAAAAAGGATTTTAAAACATTGTGTTTACTAAGTTTTAAAACCAAAGTTGAATACACGGGGCAATGATGTGAAGTGATATATTTTCTGGTGTTAGGCTATTGTAGAAGTTGATGTTTACGTGAAACTATAACATCACGCGTGAGTTCAGTTCATTGTCTTTAAGATAATGTGGTTTCAACTATTTTGTTTTCAAAGTTTATGCATTCAATCACGTGAAAAAATTAAATCGTAAAATTTGGATTTAACACATTTTGAATTAATAATCCGAATGACGATTTCGTTTATAGATATATGTACAGTCGAACTTTGAACTAAATTTATAAAGCACACAAATATTTTTTGTTATACGAGACGTTGCATAGAGCATGAATGTGTATAGTAAAAATATATGCCACCTGTAATTGACACCGTCCCCTCCCCACCCATCCCTACTTGATCGGCTTCTAAAAGGCTAGAATGACTTGATTCATCTATTATTTCGTCTTGGTTTCGTCTTTTAAATCCCACTTTGTTTATTTGTAAGTAGCATTGCGAGGATCAAACAGTTGATATATATATATATATATATATATATATATATATATATATATATATATATATATATATATATATATATATATATATATATATATATATATATATATATATATATATATATATATATATATATATATATATATATATATATATATATATATACATCGTTGCTTTTCCCTCAACATAATAAATGTAGCTTATACCCGTGCTTCGCTTCTCCCTTTTCCCGTGGTGTAATGTAAACCGCCGATGAGCAACGTTTTTTTCCTGTTCCATATCAATGATTATCAATGACGGAAGGACGGACTGACACACCAACTGGCGTAACAAAATCTGATTTCCTTGTTCTCTAACCTGGATGGTTACCTGTCCCCCAGCTCACGTTCCTCATGTGCCAGATTGTTTTGACGCCACACTCTGACCCTGACAGACACGTACAGGTGTGTGTGTGTGTGAGTAGTACTCACCTGAGCAAAAGGTCATCGTCCTCCCCTCCCCAGCCCACATACAGGTTGGAGTTGCCGTTGATGGCCAGGTACTGTGCCTTGGAGAACCCGACCACGCCCCCAAAGTAGCCGGAGTACAACAGCCTGCAGGGAGAAACGCGCGTGCACATTAATTAATTAATACAATTAACATATATTAATTAGCGAATAACGAACACCACATTAATTAAACAGTAAACTGTAAACAAAACTACATAGGTTATGACAACAGGTACATCAATTCATAAAAAAAATCTACAAACACGCTTTGTATTCAATGAATAAATTATAAACAAGTACTTAAATTAATTAAAGAATAATTTATTAACAACTAAGTTCATCAATTGATTAATATACTATAAACAAACTTGCACAACAATTAATTAATAAAGAATAAACAATCAAGAACACTAATTAATAAAGAAGATATAAAGAAACACAGAATCAATTTTAAACGGAATACATTCTTTAAAATTAATGAATAAACAATAACAAAAACAAATACAGTTCATAAATAAAGTATATGGAAATATGTATATCAATTAATAATAAATACGCCGTTTACGAATATGAACGGCCAGGATGTTTCTAATCATTATAACAACTAAGCAAAACCCAAAAAACATTTAAACATGTACAATACTATTTTATATGCTCAGGGTCTATCCATCATCCTGACCACTCTCCTCATGACCACTCTTGCTTACGGCCCCTTCTCATCATAACCCCTTCTCATCAAGACCCCTTCCACAAACATCACAGAAGCCAGTGCGACACCAAATGGTGTTACCCCCCCCCCCCCCAGAGGCGTAGCGACCCTTCCCTGGGATAAACTTTCAATTTTCGATTAGCACCCCCCTCGAACTTTCGATTTGCACCTCTTAAAAGACTATTTAACACTAGAATCAATCACTTAATTAAGTGGAATTATCATTTTTCTCTATATATTTTGCTATCTTTTGCGTTGGTGTCACCCCCATCCCCTCCTGCGGTCCGCACCTCCCGCCCCCCCCCCCCCTCGCTACGCCCCTGACTGGAACTACTAAACTGCTACTCAGTATTAATTATTATCAAGTAGGCCTATTCGTCATATTTAATTTGGTCGTGGAATTTTTAATAATTTAACTCCTTGCGATTTTTTAAAAATAACAGGGCCGATTACTCCACTAAAACATTTATTCGAGAATAATAGTAGCCTCCCTTTGCTATGCCCTTATCCTATCCTCTGCTTATTTATCTCCTACACAGTACTCAATATCTGAGTTGTCCCCTCATGTGTTTATTTATGTGATCTTGTTCACACACCCTCTAAATCATTTGTTTACTGTTTATGACTGCGGTGTCTTGACAATGAAGACGTCTAGATCATACGACAGCACACCCGCGGTGTAAAAGTTCGAAGTTAAATTTAGCCTAAATTTGCCCGCAAACTTTGTCCCAACATTTTCTATTGGTTACTGCCCTTTATTCATCATTGTAGTGAATATCAGAAACACGAACGATGATTACACGTTGCACTATTGAGTTATTTTTAAAACTAAGAAATGTTTATGAAAACCTGAGTTGCTCTGCAAGTTGAGGGGGGGACGGAGGGGGGTGAGGGGGGGGGAGGGGGGTGAGGGGGGGAGGGGGGGGAGGGGGGTGAGGGGGGGGAGGGGGGGGAGGGGGGGAGGGGGGACGGAAGAGATTTTGGAAACATTAAAGGTTTAAACATTGTGACAATTTTAAAAAGTTGCAGTTGTGTCTAGCTTGTAAACATCATGATGTTTGATGTGATTGAAAGTGTCAGTCTTCTACACATCATCGTATTTTAATCGTATTTGAGTCTAGATTCTAGATTACAGAAGTATTTCTTCTAGACTTTTTTCTTGGGGGTGTGGAGCGAGGGGGGGGGGGCGACAGAGACACTTTAAAGTATATATTTTCTATATAAATTCTATTTTGTTAGATGAGGGTGGGGTGAAAGAAACTCTTTATAGTACGCAGACATTTTTGAAACATTGAGGCTTATCTATCTGGCAAACATCCTGATGTTAAGGATGTTGAAGCTGTGTCTAGCTAGTAAACATCATGATGTTTGAAAAGTTGAAAGCATATATTTAGATAGCATCCATTATGTTTTAAAAGTTGAAGTGTGTCTAAATGTGTCCAGGTGTGTCAAAATATGACATGTTTACTGACAGAGAAAGCTGTGTGAACTGGAGCGTGTCGACCGTTAAACCTGGAACGCGCTCTGGTAATCAGTGAACCGTGAAGAGTCTATGATCGGTAGGTGGGTAGGTTACTGGGTTGGTTAATGGGTAGGTTAATGGGTAGATTAATGTGTAGGTTAATGGGTAGGTTAATGGGTAGGTTAATGGGTGGGTTAATGGGTAGGTTAATGGGTAGGTTAATCGGTAGGTTAATGGGGAGTTTTATTCAGGAGTTTAATGGGTAGGTTAATGGGTAGGTTAATGGGTAGGTTAATGGGAAGGTTAATGGGTAGGTTAATGGAAAGGTTAATGGGTAGGTTAATCGGTAGGTTAATGGGGAGTTTTATTCAGGAGTTTAATGGGTAGGTTAATGAGTAGGTTAATGGGTAGGTTAATGAGTAGACTAATGGGTAGGATAATGGGTAGGTTAATGGGTAGGTTAATGGGAAGGTTAGTACTAAGCTAATTACATTTACAAGAATATTAACAAGAGTGTATGTTAAGATACTCCCCACACGGGCGCCTTCTTATTAAAGAACCCATTAGGTTACGTGAAAGTGTGTAATATAAGAATGAGAGTTATTGAGTAAGAGTTACTTTTAGTGCAAAGCAATAATGAATGTGTAAAACTCTGACATGTATGGAAGATATTGACGCTTTAAGTGTTGTTGTGGAGTGCGAGTTAGAGAGTATCCCTACGGCCAAAGCTTTTATGTGAGAGGAAGTCTTGAGCTTCTTACAATCGTCCATTGAGTTGATGTCACCAAGGAGTATGAATAAACAGGAGTGGCAATTTACCAGCAGTTTGTCAAGGAAGACATGGAGAAGAACGGTTGAAGAAGAGGCGAAAACAGCTGGGCTTACATGGGCACAGATAAAGGGGGCAGCCCAAAACCGAGTCCGATGGAGATGTGTGGTTGCAGCCCTTTGCTCCCCAGGGGCCACAAAGGAATGATCATGATGATGTTGTCATTTGTAATACAAGCTTTTTATTTAGCTTGCTTCCTCTGTTGTCATAGATTGAAACTGCTGAGAGAAATTTCGAGCACTTATAGCTGACCGATTCCTTTCAAACTTGGCACTGGGTTAAGACCGATGACAATTTAAAAATGCATTGAAAATGCAATAAAAATGTTTTAATAACAAGCTATTATATAATATTACAGTATAAAGGAGAAAATAAATTATTTTCTTTAAATATGTAACAATATACTGCTATTTAAATAACTATAAAGAAAAATGTGGGTCTCTTCCTAAATGTTGGTAAAGGTATTCAATAGATAATAAAGTTTTTTTTTAAATAGTAGAGAATTCTTATATATTTAAAGAAAATCCTTTATTTTCTCATTTTTAGTGTAGTATTAAATAAAAGCTTGTTATTAAAATGGTTATATGCATTTTTTAAACCTTGTTTCGCTACTGAATAATGACATTCTAGAAGTATATTGGGTAGTATACGCCCCATAGTCCTAACATAGGGTGCGACCTCCAAAGCTATCTTTAGAAAATCTCGCCATAAAACAACAAAATATAACCTCTAACTCTCTTGTGACGCTGAAAATATTTACGACAACCACATCCTAACATAGACCCATATCCAGCTCATATTTATGTATTGTATTTCAGGATGTCCGTCCTTTGTACGCCATTAAACATAACATTCCCTTCTCTTTTGTCAACGTGTAACACTGCAGCCATTTCAAAATAAAGAGGGTGTGTTAAGTTAAAAATACATCCTTATGCATTTTTTTTAGAAGTCGGAAATAGCGTAAATTACTACTTCCGTTATCAGAAATTACTCTAAATTCGATAGAAAACAGAGAAATAGATCTTTTATTTATTTAGTAAAATTTCGTTTATCTAACTAAAATAGTACTCTTGTTATAGTGTTTTGAAAAACTGAAAGTAACGTAAGTTCAATTTTCGGTTACCGGAAATCGCTGAAAAGTTGATACGGAACTGCACATTTGATATAAAATATCTGAAATTTCTTCAACCTAGTTGTAACGGTACTTAATTAAACGTGTTCCCAGACACACAGACACACACATACTAACATATAGACAAGATTTCAAAATTAAGCTTTTCCGAATCAGGCATCTCTTCCGGGGGGGGGGGGGGGGGTAGTTCGGGTGAAGAGACCTGGAAGAAACACTGTTAAAAAAATCAGGACGAATCGTAAACAAAAATTGGTAATTGAGAATAGAATTACAATTTAAATACGACGATAAAACAATTAATTTTCTCAATGCTAATTCTAGCCATAATACTAGCTGTAAACTTAAACTTGACGTTGGACGTTCATAGGTCCATGCGTGCGTAAATGTACTCCAGAGTCGTACGTATGTCACGACCAGCGTACACGTGTCCCAAACAGTGTTTCTTCCACACTTTTTTCTCCGGGCTTGGGGGGGGGGGGCGGTCTACATTTTCCAGGGGGGAGGGGGGGGCGGACACTAGTAAAAGTATATGTTTACTACATAAATTCAGTCTCGTTTGGGGGGCGGTAGACTTTCTTCAGGGGGGGGGGGTGCTGCCTGGAAGAAACTCTGGTCCCAAAGTGCGTACTGTGTCCCTGGTTTTATCCCTGTAACCGTTATTGTGTACATGCGCCACAGAATACGTACACATGTCTGAAAAGTGCGTACGTATGCCCCAGTGTGTGTTAGCGTAACTCATGTTGAATGGGTGCTTGGTCTCACTGTTTCCTGTTTCTTTCAGACAAGGGGGAAGGGGGGGGGGGGGAGAAGGCATGACCCCAAAGAAAGTATACCGCAACCCCCAAACGAATTAAAATTCATATTGAAAAAAAATATATTTTTACCATTTTATAATTGTTCCCCCCCCCCCCCCCATACTTCAGGAAAACTTTCAAGTACCCCCACCCTTCCCGAAGGAAAAAAGTCAAAAAAAAAATTACACTGGTTGGTCTATGAAATCTTGCGAGGTTTTCAAACATATAACCTAACATTATACATTACATATATATATATATATATATATATATATATATATATATATATATATATATATATATATATTTGTATATATATATATATATATATATATATATATATATATATATATATATATATATATATATATATATATATATATATATATATATCAAGAACGGGACCATACATTTTTAAAGCAAGATGCAATTTAGACCTAAGGATTCATAGAACAGAACAAGTAGAGTTAATCCACATTGTAAGGTTTGCAAATCAGTACATGCTTCTTCAACAAACTCTCTCACAGTAACCAAGCACGAGACTTCCGGGTTAGCAGTCGTGCGCCCTACCACTTAACCACTCCCCGTGGAGCGGACACAGGAGGGTGAGACTTGTCAATGGGGGGGGGGGGGAGAGGGGCACATGACGGTGAGACGTAGAACACGAGGGTGAGACCTACTTGTAGCCGTACTGGTTAATGGGGTGGGGCACACGAGGGTGAGACTTTTTGATGAGGGTGGGGGCAGACAAGGGTGAGACTTGTAGATGAGGGTGGGGGCAGACGAGGGTGAAACTTGTTGATGAGGGTGGGGGCAGACGAGGGTCAGACTTGTTGATGGGGGTGGGGGGGGGCAGACGAGGGTGAAACTTGTTGATGAGGGTGGGGGCAGACGAGGGTCAGACTTGTAGATGAGGGTGGGGGCACACGAGGGTGAGACTTGTTGATGGGGGTGGGGGAGGGGGCAGACGAGGGTGAAACTTGTTGATGAGGGTGGGGGCAGACGAGGGTCAGACTTGTAGATGGGGGTGGGGGAGGGGGCAGACGAGGGTGAGACTTGTTGATGAGAGTGGGGGCAGACGAGGGTCAGACGTGTAGATGGGGGAGGGGGTAGACGAGGGTGAGACTTGTAGATGGGGGTGGGGGCACACGAGGGTGAGACTTGTTGATGGGGGTGGGGGAGGGGGCAGACGAGGGTCAGACTTGTTGATGAGGGTGGGGGCACACGAGGGTGAGACTTGTTGATGAGGGTTGGGGCAGACGAGGGTCAGACTTGTTGATGGGGGTGGGGGAGGGGGCAGACGAGGGTGAGACTTGTTGATGAGGGTGGGGGCAGACGAGGGTGAGACTTGTTGATGGGGGTGGGGGGCAGACGAGGGTGAGACTTGTTGATGAGGGTTGGGGCAGACGAGGGTCAGACTTGTTGATGGGGGTGGGGGAGGGGGCAGACGAGGGTGAGACTTGTTGATGAGGGTGGGGGCAGACGAGGGTCAGACTTGTTGATGGGGGTGGGGGAGGGGGCAGACGAGGGTCAGACTTGTTGATGGGGGTGGGGGAGGGGGCAGACGAGGGTGAGACTTGTTGATGAGGGTGGGGGCAGACGAGGGTCAGACTTGTAGATGGGGGGTGGGGGCAGACGAGGGTGAGACTTACTTGTAGCCGTACTTGTTGATGGAGGGGGTGGGGGAGTACACAAGGGTGAGATTTGTTGATGGGGGTGGGAGCAGACAAGGGTGAGACTTACTTGTAGCCGTACTTGTTGATGGGGGTGGGGGGCAGACGAGGGTGAGACTTACTTGTAGCCGTACTTGTTGATGGCCACGGCATAGTGCCGAGGCTGGGGGCCGCACCTGTACAGGTTGTTGTCGTTTAACGGCACGAGGTCGACGTCGTGAAAGATGTAACAGTCGAAGCTGGAGATTTTCTCAGCCTCAAGGAATCCGATGTTTAACAGGGCACCTCTGTTGAACGTTGAGTTGGATGCCTGCAAGATATACAGCTTTATATATGTGTATATATATATATATATATATATATATATATATATATATATATATATATATATATATACTAGCAGCTCCGCCACGGGGAATCTTTTTTAAATGTACCAACTATGGGAAATAACAAAACTAAACAAAAGAAAACACAAACACAACGCAAACACAACGCAAACACAAACACAACACAAACTCAAAAGAAAACACAACCACAAAGCAAATAAACGAAAGCACAAACACAAACACAATGCAAAAAAAAAAAAAAAACCCACAAAAACAACACATTTAGACTGAAACAACAGTTACCTGTTCTATAACAAAAAACGTCACATCCGCCTGCTGGCGTGCTAAAAACGGCAGGAGGTTGTTGAGTACAATGTGCAGATGTTCGTAACGGTTCCTGTAGGGTAATATGATGGCCAGACGCTCCCGGGGCAGGCAGCTGGCGGGTCTCATACGACCAGCGTACATATCGGGGTAGTAGTTCTGTAGAGTTTCTGGTTTGACGAACTCACTGAAACCTCCTAGAAGACCAACTGTTGAGTACAGAAAGATATCAGGAAAGGAAATATCACTCTCTTTTCTGGTTTGATTAAATTACGACTACGTATCAGGCGAACAGTCAATCACAGGAGACCAGTAGTAATTTAGACAAGAACAGAAGCTTATAAATTAAGTACCGTTCTGTGGCAGACCAGGCGAGCCACTGTGGCAGGTAAAGGGTGAGCTCAATCAGCTCTAAAAAAATACCTGGCGAGAGTCGGTTGGGGGAATTCTAAGAATTCTTTTTCAGACATATCACACGTGGTCACATCAGCATATAAACTCAAACGCTATGTATATATATATATATATATATATATATATATATATATATATATATATATATATATATATATATATATATATATATATATATATATATATATATATATCGAGGGTATAGAAGGCAAACGCAGTACGACCGAAAAAACTTAATCTCGAGAAAAATAAGTTTATAAATCTCATTCCAATATTAAAATAGTGCAAAATATTATGTTCAAACATTCATAAAATATTTACATTCTACTTTTCTGACATTTTACATGAGTGCTCTTGTAGCTTGTATTATTGACAGTATCAGTAGAAATGTACATCGATTTGACCTAAAATGTAGACATACAGCATTTGTCCTCTATATTCAGATATACATATAAATATATATATATATATATAAATATATATATATATATATATATATATATATATATATATATATATATATATCAGGGGCGGAACTACAGTGCCGCCAGACCCCGCAATGCGGGGGGGCCCACGCCATTTAGGGGCCCACGGCCGACCATAAAAAAAATTGTTATAGTTAAAAAACAATGTTCTTGCATTTTTGACTTAATGTTTGTTTTGTAAAAAAGGTTACCGTAGCTGCCGTTGGATTATCTTTATTCTATAGACACCACCCCATGCTAATTTTTCCTTCGTTTTTAAACCACTGTGAAAGCCGAGTCCTCTTTCTCCTACAATGAAACTTATCAAAGATAAGCAAACGTTCAAACTACTTCCATGACTTATTTCCCTTTTTTAAATAGTCAAATAGTGATGCTCATAGCCTCTTTTTAAAAGATTTGTACTAAACAAATTAAAAAGCAATTACTTCTCTTTATTATTATTTGTTTATAAATTACTTACTAAAGAATGACACTGTATAAAAATAAAATTTATTTAAAAGTAATAAAATAAATACAAAAAAACATTAAAATAAACATGACATGAGACACCATTATTTACAGAAAGCTTTCATGTTTTATATTCTTTTGACCAATATGTGGTTAAAGGTCTTACGGTAAAGATAATATAAAACTGATTTTCACAAAACCGACTAATGCAGGGGTCGGCAACCTGCGGCTCGCGAGCCGCATGCGGCTCTTTTGGTGTCCAGTTGAGGCTCTTCAGCTCCATGCACAGATATTAATAATTATTTTATTTTAGTTCCAAAACTCATTTAAATATAAGTCTGCAGCACTCGATAATAAACGATATAACAATAGATATTAACAATAAACATTCACTATTCTATTAGAATATTTAGTTACTCCCTATCTCAGTGTACTTCCTATTACATTGTCCATTCCGAATTGAAACATTCAACATCATAGTGGATATCACTAAGAAACTAAACCAGCTAAATGTAAAACTGAAAGGAAAACCCAGCCTATATCTTGCTTAAAGATGTGGTTTGTTTCCAAAAAAAAATCTTTTTTGTTGGATACATGGTGAGCGGTAAATTACTTAATTACGAAAAATCTGAAAAAATATCTTAATGAAACTAATGCTACTATTCAATCACCTCAGCATTAATTGAAACAAAATGAAGTGTGTTTTTACTGAGAGATTTGAGCTATTCAAAACAAAATCAAGTACTCTGACTTAGATAGTAGATCCTCTCAACACAAATTCAAATGAGATTATCTCATGTATTCAAAGCTATTTATTTTAAATTATATATATATATATATATATATATATATATATATATATATATATAGTGTGTGAAATTTGTTTAGGATTATATATATATATATATATATATATATATATATATATATATATATATATATATATATATATATATATATACTAAACAAATATACTATTGCCATAAACATGTTAGTGGCTCTTTAAAAACCTGGTAATGTTTTAAATTGTAACTTTTGGCTCTTTCGTCTCAAAAGGTTGCCGATCCCTGGACTAATGTACTTACACTCATGACATGATGTTGAAATTTGTTTTAATTAAAAAAAAAAACCCACGTATTTCTCATAACACGAACAGGCCAGCATGAATAGGTTTCCTATGTTCGTATGTTGTGTTTGAGTATATATATATATATATATATATATATATATATATATATATATATATATATATATATTATATATATATATATATATATATACATATATATATATATATATATATATATATATATATATATATATATATATATATACATATATAAATATATAGGCCTATATATATATATATATATATATATATATATATATATATATATATATATATATATATATATATATATATATATATATACTAGCTGCATCCCGTGCTCCGCCACGGCAAATCTTTTTTAAATGTACCAACTTTGGAACAGAACAAAACAAACAAAAACAACACAAACACAAAAAACACAACCACAAACACAACACAACCACAACACAACCACAACACAACCACAACACAAACACAACACAACACAACACAACCACAACACAACCACAACACAACCACAACACAACCACAACACAAACACAACACAACACAACTACAACACAACCACAACAAAAACACAACCACAACAAAAACACAACCACAACACAGCCACAACACAACCACAACACAACCAAAAAACAACCACAATACAACCACAACACAACCACAACACAACCAAAAAAAAAAAAAACAACACAACCACAACATTAGAATCACCACCAAACAACACGCTTTTTAGGCGTCCGCGCCCAAAGAGACCCTTTCCAACATTAAAAATTTAAGTCACATAAATAGATCCTACTCCATAACTTACAATAAAACAATGCGATGCAAATGAATGTACGGCAAGTGGTGTTTACTTTTATGGTTCTAAGAAAACCCATTGGCAATGTAATTAGAATTACCACCGAAAATCACGCTTTTCCCAGGCGTCCGCGCCCAGAGAGAGTCTTTCCACCATTCTCTATATTATAATTATAAAATTTCACCATCTGTTAGCACCAAAAAACAAAAACAAAAAATAGTGATTTTGAGAAATCATAGACTAATTAGAAAATAATATAAATAATCTTAACATTTTTCTCTTTTAATTATGAACCTTAACATAGACTAATCAATGCGGTAGTAATAAAAAAAAAGATTAACTTAAATTATTGTTGAGTTAAATATATTTTCAAATTACCTCCCTTGAAACAATTACCACAAAAAAAAAGTGGAATTAATTAGCTTTTTCGACCTACTTTTATGGAAATGTATCCATTTTTTCTAGGAATATAAACTAAAATGATATTTGACATTAATCTTTTTAATACGTTTTAGCAGTTTGCGTGTATTTAATATTTTCTTGACGTTATGCGAAAGAGTAAAAACCGTGGCAATTATAAAATAGCTCTATGCCGCTATATAAACAAACCCTACTCTAATACTTATAATAAGACACTGCGGTGCACTGAAAAGCACAGCGTGGTGCGCAGTTTACTTTTATAGTCCCAAAATCTATAGCGATGACGGACGGAAGGAAGGAAGGAAGGACACGCTCAGCCCGCTTATATTATACTAGCTGCATCCCGTGCTCCGCCACGGTAAATCTTTTTTAAATGTACCAACTTTGGAACAGAACAAAACAAACAAAAACATAACACAAACACAAACAAAACACAACCACAACACAACACAACCACAACACAACACAACAAAACAAACAAAAACATAACACAAACACAAACAAAACACAATCACAACACAACACAACCACAACCACAACCACAACCACAACACAACCACAACCACAACGACAACACAACCACAACATAACCACAACACAACACAACCACAAACACAACCACAACACAACCACAACACAACCACAACATAACCACAACACAACACAACCACAACACAACCACAACAATAGAATCACCAACAAACAACACGCTTTTCTTATGCATCCGCGCCCAGAGAGAGCCTTTCCAGCATTCTCTATACTATAATTCTAAATTTTTTACCATCTGTTAACACCGAAAAACAAAAACAAAAAAATAGTGATTTTGAGAGATCATAGTCTAATTATAAAATAATGTAAATAATCTTAACATTTTTTCTATTTTACTTAACATATAATAATCAATGTGGAAGTAATAAAGAAAATTAACTTAATTTATTGAGAGTGAGTTGAATATTAAAAAAAAAACATTTTCCCATACGTCCGCGCTCAGAGAGAGCCTTTCTATTATTCTCAAAAAGTCTAATTTCACCATCTGTTTTCATAACACCGAAAAACAAAAGCAAAAAGATAGTGATTTTAGAGAAATCATAGACTAATTAGAAAAAAATAATAAATAATATAAATAATCTTAACATTTTTCTCTTTTAATTATGAACATTAACATATACTAATCAATGCGGTAGTAATACAAAAAAGATTAACTTAAATTATTGTTGAGATAAATATATTTTCAAATTACCTCCCTTGAAAAAAATTACCACAAAAAAAAGTTGAATTAATTAGTTTTTTCGACCTACTTTTATGGAAATGTATCCATTTTTTCTAGGAATATAAACTAAAATGATATTTGACATTGATCTTTTTAATATGTTTTAGCAATGTGCGAATATTTAATATTTTCATAACGTTATGCAAAAAAGTAAACACAGTGTCATTTATAAAATAGCTCTATGCCGCTATATAAACAAACCCTACTCTAACACTTATAATAAGACACTGCGGTGCACTGAAAAGCACAGCATGGTGCGTAGTTTTACTTTTATAGTCCCAAAATCTATAGCGATGACGGACGGACGGAAGGAAGGAAGGACAGACACAGCCCGCTTATATTATAGATATATACATATATATATATATAGGCCTATATATTTACTAGGCATGCTGCCCAGCTTCGCTTAGGCTTCGAAAACATTGAGAATTTGAATGCTTAATTAATTCGCCCGAAGGTCGGTCTACGACCTCAGGAGTTATGAAGAGGTTCCTCCGTGGACATTTTTTTTTCGATTTATAGCTCATATAAGGTACCGGTCAGTCGAGGTCAGTTTTGACCCCCACATCGTAGACTTTTCGGCCAACCGGCCCCCGTGTTCTGTCGCACCAAGGCAAGATCATGCCAAATTTGAAGCGCCTGCGGCGCCGGGAAGTGCCCTATCGGACACCCGACAATCTAGATCTAGAGCTAGATTCCTAAAAGATTTTTTTTTTAAAGTTTAGCCCGAGCATAATAAAAAAGAATACATTAACCAAGCTGACTTGCTGTGTCTCGAACCCGCACCACCTGCGTGGTTTAATGTACACTAACATCTCCGCTATTTAGGCAACTTATAAAATACGGAGAATGAAAGACGTATTTTAAAATCTTAACTTACGCGAATATGCCTATTCTTTCAAATTAATTTTTTATCCCAAATTAGCCAGTTCATAACAAAGATTTTGTATAAAATAAATAAGTCTTGAAATAGTTTAGTCCTAATATAGAAATTTATTTTTGGAATTGATTTTAGAGAAGTTAGAGTCTAAATCTAGATCTTAGCGTCTACGTCTAGATCTAGTTATTGCGTAGATTTAGATTTAGTCTAGATCTAGAATCTCTAGATCTAGAATCCAAATACATAAAATAAATGTTATGAGTTTAGGCCGGAAAAATTGTATTGTATACATTTCATAGTGTACGTAGATCTAAATCAAATTTGAATGAAATAGTTCATTTCTTTTCATTCTAAACACGGCAGATGACGTCATTAGTTAATGTATAAGCAATAGTGACGTCACAGTTTTATGCGTTCTTTTTCACATATATTAATGCTTTTCCGGTTGCATAAATAATACTGTTTCCCAACATTCGAATACGCCTTTAATTTTTATTTTTCTTCTTTAAATAAAATTGTGGTTATACATTTAAAACATCTAACATATTATTTTCAACAAAAGTCCGTAAAAAATTCTCGATATATCGCTGCCGATTCTGACGTGATGTCCGGCGAAAATTTTTTGCGGACAGAGAAAGAGAGAGAGAGAGAGAGAGATGTGCGCACATTGGGCTTTTATATATTAGGATATGGGGGGGGGCCTAAAAAAAATTTTTGCGGGGTGGCCCCTTTTTTCTAGTTCCGCCACTGATATATATATATATATATATATATATATATATATATATATATATATATATATATATATATATATATATATATATATATCTATAATAATAGTTTCGCTGTCTGTGTATGTATCTATCTGACAAGAACGCTCTGGAACGCTCTAGAGAAAACATAAGCAAAAAAGGAACGCTCTAGAGAAAACATAAGGAATTTAAAAACATGCACAGTAATTCGAAAAACGAAATATGACGTCGACACATTTAGCGTAGAGTAGAACATAATCTCAAACCAGAGAGTGCACACAGTCATATGACGTCATTGATTATCGCGTAAACATTGAATTAAAAAGGAAATGTTGTCTAATCTAAATGGTTTGCGTGAAGAGTTTCTTGCATACAATTCTTCGGGTAGGGGCGAAGCCCCACCCCCCGCGTAAGAACGTCTGAGCCCCCCCCCCCCTCCCCAACTCAAAAGAAATTTCCTCATCGATACTCTATAATAAAATTACCGCCTAATTAATGTGTCTAATCTAAAAAGTGGTTTTCTTGCAATGGGACGGTAGACATGTTTTTTTGGGGGGGTGGGGGGGGGTGTGGGGGGTGTGTGTGTGTGGGGGGGGGGGGTGGTGTGTGGGGGTGGGGGGGGTGGGGGTGGTGTGTGGGGGGGGTGGGTTGGTTTCAGTGTTTCTTTCAGACTTTTTCCTCCCCGGAGAGGGGTGGGGGGTACTTGAAATTTTCGGGGGCGGGGGTAGAATTTTCTGGGAGGGGGCGGACACTGGAAAAAGTATATAATTATATTTCGTTGAATGGGACGGTAGACATGTTTTTTTAGGGGGGGGGGGGTTGTGGGGGGGGGGGGGGGTGGGGGGAGGGGGTGGTGTGTGTGTGGGGGGGGGGGGGATGGGGGGTGAGTGGGGGGGGTGGTTTTAATTTAGACTTTTTCCTCCCCGGAGAGGGGTGGGGGTACTTGAAATTTTCGGGGGCGGGGGTAGAATTTTCGGGGAGGGGGCGGACACTGGAAAAAGTATATAATTATATTTTGTTGAATGGGACGGTAGACATGCTTTTTTTTGGGGGGGGGGGTGGGTGGGGGGTGGGGGGGGGGGTGGTGTGTGTGTGGGGGGGGGGGGGGGTGGGTGGGGGGTGGGGGGGTGGTGTGTGTGTGGGGGGGGGGGGGGGTGAGTGGGGGGGGGGTGGTTTTAATTTAGACTTTTTCCTCCCCGGAGAGGGGTGGGGGGTACTTGAAATTTTCGGGGGCGGGTGTAGAATTTTCGGGGAGGGGGCGGACACTGGAAAAAGTATATAATTATATTTCGTTGAATGGGACGGTAGACATGTTTTTTTTTGGGGGGGGGGGGGGGGTGGGGGGGTGGGGGGGTGGTGTGTGTGTGGGGTGGTGTGTGTAGGGGTGGGGGTGGGGGGGGGGTGGTGTGGGTGGGGGGGGGGGTTGGGGTGGTGTGGGTGGGGGTGGGGGGTGTGGGTGGGGGTGGGGGTGGTGTGTGTGGGGGGGTGGTTTTTGTTTAGAGAAAAGAGACAGCACTATCAACCTAGCGCCCGGTGTATCCTTCCTCAACGGGCCATTTTTCTAGTATATATATATTTACGAATTTAAACAAAAAAGTGACGACAACTTACGCAGGCCTGGTGGCTTGCTTGGACACAATAGGCTATCATTCAACTGCTCAGTATCAGTAGGTAGATCAATACGGAGGATATCGTTCTGTTCTTCCTCCTTGAACCGTTTTTCTAAAGTCTCGGCAAGTCTTTGGGCTGGCCCTTTCTTCGTCTCATTCTTGTTCATGTTTGTGTTAATCTCACTCGTGTGTTCATTTTTTAATACTGTTTTGTTCACAGAACTATTTTCAGATAAATTTGATTTTGTAAGTTGCAACTTATTTACAAGTGGATTTGCTTCCCGGTGTTGCGTAACATTGTCGCCATTTCTATTATTATTTTTATCGTCTGATAGTGTTAGTTGTTTTGCCGCGGTTTTCGATGCTAATGTTAAGTCTGTTACCGGTTCCTCTTCATTTATAACGCCATCACCAAAATGAAATCTCGAAAATGGAGGCACCGCTGGAGTATGTAGAATGCTTTTCTTCCAAACTAAGTAAAAAACAAAAACACATTTTTAAAATCTTTACAGCATATTTTTAATCATTACAATAGCATGATAATTAGTAAAGCAATGAAAATTACATTCAATAATATAACTAATCTGGAAAATGTTTTAATTAAATTTTAAAGTATTCCTTCAAAGATTTAGAATCGTATAATAATTAGTAAGAAGGAAAAACAAATTAGACTTTTTACTTAAGGGTAAACTTTAAAAAAAAAAATTAGTTAAATTAAAACAAGTACGTAATATTGTGAAATCGTATGTCAATATGGAAAATCAATATACGAGTGGCTGATCGAACATTGAGTAATGGTGTGATTGAAAGGGCATGTTGAAACATCGAGTATTGTATCGATTGATTGAGTCTAGTAGCAGCATTAATTTCCTGATGAGGTAAAAAAAATCTTTTCAGAGTTACCTGTCGTTCAATGATGAGATTAGCCTGTTTCATTCATGACCTGCCTAACATGTGAAACATGCTTGTAGCTACATCATATCAATGAGATTTTTCCTCACATATTACTTAATGTTCATATCACTCACCAATCAATATTTCCCTAAAAAAATCACTTGACGGTTCACTCACACCATCGCCCAATGTTCCCTAACACACCACTTAATGTTCCCCACAATTCACTCAATGTTTCCCACGCAGCACTTACTGTTCCCCTCACACATCACTCAATGTTCCCCACAATTCACTCAATGTTCCCATCACACACCACTCAACATTCCCCACAATTCTCTCAATGTTCCCCTACACATCACTAAATGTTCCCCACACATCAATGTTCTCCACACATCACTCAATGTTCCCTTCACACACCACTCAATATTCCCCACAATTCACTCAATGTTTCCCACGCAGCACTTGCTGTTCCCCTAACACATCACTCAATGTTCCCCACAATTCACTCAATGTTCCCTTCACACACCACTCAATATTCCACACAATTCTCTCAATGTTCCCCACACATCACTCAATGTTCCCCACACACCACTCAATGTTCCCCACACACAAACTCGATTTTTCACAGATCACAGAATGTTCCCCACACATCACTCAACGTTCCCCACACATCACTCAATGCTCCCCACACATTACTCAATGTTCCCCTCACATCATCCTATGTTCCCCCATGTCACATCACTCAATGTTCCTCTAAAATCTTACAATGTTTCCTCACTCCTCACGTAATGTTCCCCACACATCTCACAATGCCCCCCCCCCCCCACATCACTTTGTGTTCCCATCACATCATTAAATGTTCCTCAGGACATCAACACACCAGACACGCCACCACCTCGACCTCAAGACACCAGACACGCCACCACCACGACCTTAAGACACCAGACACGCCACTACCTCGACCTTAAGACACCAGACACGCCACCACCACGACCTTAAGACACCAGACACGCCACCACCTCGACCTCAAGACACCAGACACGCCACTACCTCGACCTTAAGACACCAGACACGCCACTACCTCGACCTTAAGACACCAGACACGCCACCACCACGACCTCAAGACACCAGACACGCCACTACCTTGACCTTAAGACACCAGACACGCCACTACCTCGACCTTAAGACACCAGACACGCCACCACCTCGACCTTAAGACACCAGACACGCCACTACCTCGACCTTAAGACACCAGACACGCCACCACCACGACCTCAAGACACCAAACACGCCACCACCTCAACCTCAAGACACCAGACACGCCACCACCTCGACCTCAAGACACCAGACACGCCACCACCACGACCTCAAGACACGCCACTACCTCGACCTTAAGACACCAGACACGCCACCACCTCGACCTTAAGACACCAGACATGCCACCACCTCGACCTTAAGACACCAGACACGCCACCACCTCGACCTCAAGACACCAGACACGCCACCACCACGACCTCAAGACACTCCACTACCTCGACCTTAAGACACCAGACACGCCACCACCACGACCTCAAGACACGCCACTACCTCGACCTTAAGACACCAGACACGCCACCACCACGACCTTAAGACACCAGACACGCCACTACCTCGACCTTAAGACACCAGACACGCCACCACCTCGACCTCAAGACACCAGACACGCCACTACCTCGACCTTAAGACACCAGACACGCCACCACCTCGACCTCAAGACACCAGACACGCCACTACCTCGACCTTAAGACACCAGACACGCCACCACCACGACCTCAAGACACCAGACACGCCACCACCACGACCTTAAGACACCAGACACGCCACCACCACGACCTCAAGACACCAGACACGCCACCACCTCGACCTTAAGACACCAGACACGCCACTACCTCGACCTTAAGACACCAGACACGCCACTACCTCGACCTTAAGACACCAGACACGCCACCTCCACGACCTCAAGACACCAGACACGCCACCACCACGACCTCAAGACACGCCACTACCTCGACCTTAAGACACCAGACACGCCACCACCACGACCTCAAGACACGCCACTACCTCGACCTTAAGACACCAGACACGCCACCACCACGACCTTAAGACACCAGACACGCCACCAACTCGACCTCAAGACACAAGACACGCCACCACCTCGACCTCAAGACACCAGACACGCCACCACCACGACCTTAAGACACGCCACCACCACGACCTTAAGACACCAGACACGCCACTACCTCGACCTTAAGACACCAGACACGCCACCACCACGACCTTAAGACACCAGACACGCCACCACCTCGACCTCAAGACACCAGACACGCCACTACCACGACCTTAAGACACCAGACACGCCACCACCTCGACCTCAAGACACCAGACACGCCACCACCACGACCTCAAGACACGCCACTACCTCGACCTTAAGACACCAGACACGCCACCACCACGACCTTAAGACACCAGACACGCCACTACCTCGACCTCAAGACACCAGACACGCCACCACCACGACCTCAAGACACGCCACTACCTCGACCTTAAGACACCAGACACGCCACCACCACGACCTTAAGACACCAGACACGCCACCACCTCGACCTTAAGACACCAGACACGCCACCACCACGACCTCAAGACACCAGACACGCCACCACCTCGACCTTAAGACACCAGACACGCCACCACCTCGACCTTAAGACACCAGACACGCCACTACCTCGACCTTAAGACACCAGACACGCCACCACCACGACCTCAAGACACGCCACTACCTCGACCTTAAGACACCAGACACGCCACCACCTCGACCTTAAGACACCAGACACGCCACAACCTCGACCTTAAGACACCAGACACGCCACCACCACGACCTCAAGACACGCCACCACCTCGACCTTAAGACACCAGACACGCCACCACCTCGACCTCAAGACACCAGACACGCCACCACCTCGACCTTAAGACACCAGACACGCCACTACCTCGACCTTAAGACACCAGACACGCCACTACCTCGACCTTAAGACACCAGACACGCCACCTCCACGACCTTAAGACACCAGACACGCCACCACCTCGACCTTAGGACACGCCACCACCACGACCTTAAGACACCAGACACGCCACCACCTCGACCTCAAGACACCAGACACGCCACCACCACGACCTCAAGACACGCCACTACCTCGACCTTAAGACACCAGACACGCCACCACCACGACCTTAAGACACCAGACACGCCACCACCTCGACCTCAAGACACCAGACACGCCACCACCACGACCTCAAGACACGCCACTACCTCGACCTTAAGACACCAGACACGCCACCACCACGACCTTAAGACACCAGACACGCCACCACCTCGACCTTAAGACACCAGACACGCCACCACCACGACCTCAAGACACCAGACACGCCACCACCTCGACCTTAAGACACCAGACACGCCACCACCTCGACCTTAAGACACCAGACACGCCACCACCTCGACCTTAAGACACCAGACACGCCACTACCTCGACCTTAAGACACCAGACACGCCACCACCACGACCTCAAGACACGCCACTACCTCGACCTTAAGACACCAGACACGCCACCACCTCGACCTTAAGACACCAGACACGCCACAACCTCGACCTTAAGACACCAGACACGCCACCACCACGACCTCAAGACACGCCACCACCTCGACCTTAAGACACCAGACACGCCACCACCTCGACCTCAAGACACCAGACACGCCACCACCTCGACCTTAAGACACCAGACACGCCACTACCTCGACCTTAAGACACCAGACACGCCACTACCTCAACCTTAAGACACCAGACACGCCACCTCCACGACCTTAAGACACCAGACACGCCACCACCTCGACCTTAGGACACGCCACCACCACGACCTTAAGACACCAGACACGCCACTACCTCGACCTTAAGACACCAGACACGCCACTACCTCGACCTTAAGACACCAGACACGCCACCACCACGACCTCAAGACACGCCACTACCTCGACCTTAAGACACCAGACACGCCACCACCACGACCTTAAGACACCAGACACGCCACCAACTCGACCTCAAGACAGACACGCCACCAACTCGACCTCAAGACACAAGACACGCCACTACCTCGACCTTAAGACACCAGACACGCCACTACCTCAACCTCAAGACACCAGACACGCCACCACCACGACCTTAAGACACCAGACACGCCACCAACTCGACCTCAAGACAGACACGCCACCAACTCGACCTCAAGACACAAGAACGCCACTACCTCGACCTTAAGACACCAGACACGCCACTACCTCAACCTCAAGACACCAGACACGCCACCACCTCGACCTTAAGACACCAGACACGCCACCACCTCGACCTTAAGACACCAGACACGCCACCACCTCGACCTTAAGACACCAGACACGCCACTACCTCGACCTCAAGACACCAGACACGCCACCACCTCGACCTCAAGACACCAGACACGCCACCACCACGACCTCAAGACACGCCACTACCTC